AGATTAACCAGCTACGCAGGAGATATTATTTTGGTCCGCGCCGGATTCGAACCCACGACCTTCAGGTTGGGAGTCCAACGCTCTAACCGTTACACCACGGAGGCAGTGAAGCTATAATATTATGTGGTCAGATCCATGGTCGATAAATCAGATCCATGGCTTAAATCCACGGATCTTACGACCACGAATCTGACGATAATTCAAATATGAAGGTATTACTGTAAAACTATAAATAAAATCGTATTTATTTGTACTCCAGTGCCTACACAGGGATATACGTATTATTAATCAAAAACCAGTTTAGTGAAACTATTCTCAATTTAACAGCAAAACGAACCACGAGTTATACCTACCCCGTTGGACAAACATTTGCAGAAGTCAAAGAACTTTACCTAAAATTTCTGGCGCGAAATCTACGGACACTACCTTCCCGTCCGGACACGGCCGGTCAACAAGCGGTCTTTTGGACCAATCGCAAGACGATTACCGAGTATTCCACTAAATAAATTGTCATAGTTTCGCCGCGAGATTGAAATGCCGTGACATGTATTTGAACAAATAAAGGTACTTATTTGTTCAAATACAATGGACACTAGGACAAAGGACTTTGATTATTTTAGAACAGTTTATTCATGACCTAATAGAATAACTCTTTATGTATTTAAAAACAGTATATATTCATGTATAATCTTGAGCGTAAAAAAAAAATCACTATAACATAGCAAGAGTCGCGCGTTGTGTCACGGAAAAATCTAGTGAAATTACCGCGTTTTTTTAGTTTCAAATGGATATTTAACCAATTTCTTTAATTAAATTTTTTTTTTATCTAATGGCCTAAACACTACAATAGTTAAGTAAAGCTTGGAGTGGTACTTTATTCAAATTGATCTATTACTCCAGTTAATATTTCAATGTGACCCTTAAAATCATGGGGCCCAGGAATCACCCAGTCACATAATACCCGAGAAAGTCATACCATAAAAAAAACTTGATATTGAAGTACCTGTAAGAAATGTACTGATTACTGAAGTCAAATACTGTCGGAAATAGCCGACATAAACCTCTTAAGCAATAACTACTAAAACATATGTATATAATTATAATATAAAGTGTAATTTTTTCTCGAAACTGCTGGGATGCCCCATTGTATTTAAGTGCATTTTCCCTTACATTAATAACACACGGTGTCGGTATTGTTACTTGGACGAACTCCAATACAAAGCCCAGTCTCCTTTAACAAACAAGAATACATTACACAAAGACAACAACGGGACAAGTGAAATAATAAAAGCTTTATAATATAGAAATACAGAGATCTTTAGATTTGTGGGCACTTTATAATATATAATGCTATCAGTAAAAGTAGATTATACCTACTAATCATAATCTTTATTTGCTAAAACACGGTATACAGGTATTGCATAAAGTGATTTGATCGCCATTTTTAAAAATAGCATGCAAATACATATATGGTACAAATTTGAAAAAAAAAATAGATTAATTACTTTTAAAATTTTCTATAGAATTAAGAATGTCAGAGTTACCTAATATTATGTCAATAAAATATACAATGTCAACATATTAATATAACAAGGTTTCTAAATATCAGATAAAAAAATAATAAAAAAAGATATTTTTTTTTATTATAGGATAAGTTAAAACATGACCATTAATTTTTGTAATTGAAATAACTTTTTAAATCATAGAAATTGTTTCCATTTAGCCATTTATATAGTTTATTTTTAAACATGTTCATATTTAGCATTTTCATGTTGGATGGAATTTTATTCAAGAGCCCGACACAAAGGCACAAGCAACTTTTCTTATATTTGTCAGACTTTGGGATCTCATTGAATATCATTCTGTAAGGGTCTCTAAGTCGGAAATTATTGACCCTCTTGAAAAACTGCTTGTGCCCGTCGACAAATACTGCTAATAGGCTAGTTTACTCATGTCGAATTGTATGAAATAAATGTTTATTTCTTAAAGTGTTTAGTCTAAGGAACCTTAATATATCGATTTCACTTCATAAAAGCAGAAGATTGCTGTAGAAATTTAATTTTAAAAAATATTTTTTAGTCTATATTTTTTAAACACTAAAAACGCTGTTCGCCACTTTCGCCATGATTTTGACGTCTCTTGTGGTAAACAACTAAATGTCATTCGCGTGTTACTGTAGATGGATTCTTTCGTCTGACTAAATTTATCTTAAAACACTTTTAACTTTAGGAAAGAAAAAAACAGTAAACTTAGTTTTTTTTTACTGAACAAATTATGGATGCCGGCTTTGTGAAAGCAGAAAGCACAAATCTGCCAAGAATTGACGCATTGATGGTTGGTGAATTTGTTGCACTAAACCCCGATTTCTGCTCTGCGGAGCAGAGAAACGACAAGGCATCTATGTAAGTTCAGTGCATTTAGTATTACAATGTAGTAATAAACATAAAACTGATATAACATATGAATAAGTGTAATAAAGTTGCGTAGGTTAATTTCTTTCGGCACTTTAATCCACAACTTTCCTGGAGTCTTCAAGGATGTGTTTTTATATTCTCGTACAATACAGTAATGATAATTACTTTATTTTTCGTGGTATTTATTAGAAATCATGTTTTTTTTATTATAAACTCAGTTAAAAGTAATTTTCTACGTGTTTACGAGTTTTTGTTTACCACAGTTCACGTCATAGCATAGACAATCTATAGACTAAAATGGCCGACAGCGTTTTTGTATGTCCATGAAAAGTCTATTTTAAAATTAAAGATTTGTAGCTTTCTAGGTTTAAAAAAATACAATACATTTTTTTTTCGGTCTAATAGAACATTTATTAACCATTTAAAACCTTTTTCCAAAAAGGGTCAACTAGCCTATTCATATATGTACAGCGATGGCAGCAGCAACAATCCAAGACCCTTAAATAATGGTCTACACGATTGCCACGATTGGTCTTGGATAATATATATATGGTCTTATGTAAATATTTTGTATGACTCAGAAAATAACTTTGTAAAATACTAACATTCGCAATCAATTTTTTGTATTGAAATATCCACTCAGATTATAACAATGCAAAAATGGGAAACTTTTTAGTTTATTTATATAAGTATTCGTACAATTTTGCTAACCTCGATATAATTAATACTAGATGCATCCCATAGAAAAGTGACAATCGTCAATGTCAATTTGACGTTATTCCATAAAATGAGATTTAGCAAAATTGCTGCAAATGCACTTAGTGTATTAACTCAAAAAATAATATTTTTCATACAAACTTTCATCCCCTTTTTTACCCTCCCAGGGGAGATTTTTCAAAAATCCCTGATATACATTATTCTTTATTTCTGGTCTTTAGTAAAATTAACAAGCTTCGAGTTAATCGAAGTGCGCATTAAAATGCATCTATATAAAACTTCGACGCGACGCTGTCCCGATCCCCTTTTAGGAGGTTGTTCAAAGAAACTAAAAATGATAGAATCGTAGATAAGTATTCGTGTCAAGTTTCAAATGTATAAAGTCAGGGAATAACATTTTTCATACAAACTTTCATCCCCTATTTTAAACCGTTTGGGGTGAATTAAAAAAAACCTTTTTAGTGCACTTCTACACCTTTTAAGGAACCTACGTGTCAAATTTGGAGTCTCTTGTCCCAGTGATTTCGGCTGTCCGTTGAATGTTAGTCAGTCCGTAGATACTAGCTGTACCTGCGACATCATCCGCGTGGACGTCGGAAAATAACATGTCTTAAGCTCTTAAAGCTCTCCAATAAAAGTATACATTGTTTATACCTACCTACATTGTACTAAGTTAATAAGTTTCTTTGAAAAACTATCCATAAAAAGCATTATCATTTCCTCATACTACCGCCTTTACCGTAATGGGATTTTTATAAATAACCTCAATATATACCGCCTGTAGCAAGTTTTATAGCAATAGTGGCACAAACAGATATCTTTTTTTGCCAAAAGTGTAGGCGTGAATCACTTATTTACATAAAACTTGCGTATAAAGAAGATTGTAAATTGTTTATGTTACGCAATACATGTGATTACTGAATAGAAAATTATGCCTAATCGATTATGACGAAGTAATAAAGTAAAGACCTGTAATGGTATGGTAAAGCTGCAACGGTTTTCCTTGTTTAATTCTTCCAATCAAACTTGACCTCCTTGGCTACCACTAATTTAAAAATATTCGTTTATTAACATTTTAAAATAGAGAGATTCCATGCCTTTCGAACGTAAATTAGCCTAATTATTTTCAATTTTAATTGGTAAGTATTATGTGGACTATGCTGACTTAACTGAACGACGACTTCCGTAGCCGAATGGTTTGTACGCCAGGTTTCATGGTGTCGCCGACTCGAGAGGTCCCGGGTTCGAATCCCGGTGGGGGCAGATATTTGTGTGATGAATACGAGCATTTGTACTCCAGTCATGAATGTTTAATATATATTTCTACATAAATATAATTATATATGTACTGCATATGTATTCTATCCGTTACACTAGCATCCCATATAACAAGCCTTACAGTGCTTACTTTGAACCAAAACCAGAATGTGTCAACTACTGACTTTCTTTTGTCAGTAATCAGAGTCAATAGCCAGCTATAGTAATTATTAAAACTGTTGCAGGCGACGAGATTTTAGTTTACTATTATTTTGGAAACAAAATCTATTTCCATTTTTATGATGCAGCCAAATGGAAGTCAGACTACAAACCTCACTGTTGATGCTGTGCCAAACCCGTACACAATAATAATAATACAGTACCTAATATTAAAAAAACCCGCAAGACCCAAAACGACCGTGATTAGTTTTGTAACAAAAGACAATTTATCATTATTTTCCGAACTGAATAGATCCTAAAAGATAGGCGTGCACCAATGACCATCCGCAAAAGTCACGATCACGATCTAAAAATAACCGCAACCGTTCACGTGGAAATTTAGTACAACAATGAGCTGTAAATTGCATTCTTATAATCATTGCAACCTGTAATCAGCATTGTGCGGCAACCTCGCCATTCTTCGTTACTTTTTGTCGTAAAAGAGATCATCGCGACATTCAGTTAGTTGCAATCATGCCGCCGCCATAGCGGCACATTTAAAATGTTACTTAGCGTCCTGCTAACAACTTTACTATTCGTCAAAGTGTATTACAGTGATGGTAGTGTCGTGGATACTAATAAACCCTGCACGTTCCCTATTCCGTTGGAATTGCCGAATAGAAACGACCGCTCCGACCAGTGCTGGCTCAGAATCGAAGATGTGGAGCTGACTGAAACTATCACATTGTGGTGCTACATCGCGCATGCATTTCTCAAAAGCTACATACATGATTACAACGCGGAAAAGATGACAGAAGACAATGTCGACGTGAGTCTCTGGAGTGAGGTGGCGAGGCCCCAGGAAGACATCGTGCCAAAGAATAAAAACCAAAAAGGTTTGAAGGATTGGAAGTTGACAACAGTGATGGATCCGGTGACGCACATGCGACTCTACGTGACGAAGGAAGCAGACTGTCGGTTGATCATGTACACCAGGGAGGGCATGATGAATTACAAGATCGATTGTGAAACAATTTTGTTTTACGTGAACGAACGCCTTAACGGTACGGCTGCGATGACCCGAGCTCAAGGCAGCTTGCTATCCGCATGCATTTTCCTTATATTCGTCAACTTTCCAATTGTTCTGTGATATTATTTTAGCGGTAAATTAAATGAACCGGATAAGCTTGTTTACTTTTTATCCTCAACGATCTTAGCATGTCTGGCGGTTTTGTAATTTTCCTCCAGTTGTTAGAATAGAATAAAATAGAATAGAAATATTTTTATTGCTCTCACAGTAATGCATAGTACAAAAAAAATTAAAGTTAACAGTAGTGTCAAAAGGGATCTTTATAATATTTTTCAAGGCAGTTAGATATAAGTATATCTGACGCATTTGTGTTATGTAAATTAGAAATAGCTACCTAAACGTGATATGAAAATAGAATAGAAAATAAACTACTTACTAGAGGACCTAAGTTCTAGGTAGCTCTATAACGAAACTAATTTAAATCCCCAACTAAGAAAATGATTCCGCTCTGTTCCGTTTAATATAATTAGTTTTTACCTCGTTATGAACAATTTGTAATTTAACAGTGAATCGGTTCTAGTGCATACAGCAAGAATCGTACCACGTGAAGGTCACGCAGACAATTTAAATTAGATGCAATTATGTATTCAATGGTAAGTACATGGATGGCTGGAGAAAATGAATTGCCAATTGTTTGAGACATCGTTTGTTTGTTTATTATTATTATGGCTATCATCAATAGTTCCTTCCCTAGTGCGTCCGCCAGGTTAACGGAAGATGCGGCTTGGAATCCCGTGTGATGCTTGAATCGCGTGGAATTTGTTTTTAGTAAAAGGACATGGTAAAGTTTTTTATGTGCAACTGCCCTGGCAATGTATAAATACTGTACTTAGTAATATTTAATGGTAAATGGCTGAATATTTATAATTTATATGAAATAATACTCAGGAACTTTTGATAAAGTCACAATCTTGAAAATTATGAGAACTTCTATTATGTCATTACCTTACTACAGTTGATAAAAGATGTTGCCAATTACTTACAGAGTCATCAAGTTCGCATTTTCTTAGAATCTTTCTTCCCATATCTCTGATTAACTCTTTTCACTCACAAAAAGTTTTTTAAAGCAAAAGTATATACAAATAATTTGTTATCGTCGGATTCGTCGGCCTGACAGGAAATCAGTGAAGTTTTGTTTTGACCATTTACAAAAAATAAAGTATTAATTATCATACAGCCTTGTCTTAAGCCTGATCAGAATAATAAAATCTATAATTTTAGGCGTTCAGTGATTTGTTAAAATAAAAAAGGGCCAAATATGTCATAGTTTAATGTGTACATTTATTGTTCATTTATTTTGTAAAACGGTACATTTTACTTTTTAAACAGACATGAAGTAAATTTTGATACTTTTAATTATTGATTATTTCACAAAAGTTGTATGAGAATAATAAACACGTAATAATTAATAAAAAAATATTGTAAAGTTACGGGCTAGTGCGAAATATTTACACACGTTAAGGGCAGTTTCTTAGCCATGTCCTTTACTTTAGAGTTATAAGGCAGCTCGGTTAATGTAGACGTGCCTCGGCCGAGGCAAGCGCGCGCGCTGCCGCGGGCGAGCGACCGAGCGCCCGAGCCAGTTTTTTGTTGGTTTTTTGTTTTGCTCAAAGGCGCCTCAGCATAGAGTATACTAGTATATAGGGAATGCGCCTCAGTCATTTGACGCGGGCACTCTGGACGCTCGCGTATTTTGTTTCGTGCCTCGGTCGTACATAATAATTATGAATAAAGATCAGTGTCTGAAATTAATATCTCTCTATGGTGTAAACACCTGGCTATGGAGTGCAAGTGATCCTAATTTTACAAATAGAGGACTTAGGGAAGATGCCTGGTTAAATATTAGCCACGAGATGAATGTCCCGATTCCTGATTCAAAAAAGAAAATGGAGTCATTGCTGGGATCTTTCAGGCGGGAAAAATCACGAGAATAAACGAACGAAGAAAACTGGCTCGAGCCTGCCGCTCGCGGCAGCCTCGCGGTGACACCGACGCTGCCGCACTCGTTCGGGGACAGTTTCCTCGCGCGGCAAATGCCTCACGAGGCTGCTCGTTCTGTGTAGACGCGCCTAATAACTAGCTGACTCGGCGAACTTCGTACCGCCCAAAAGTAATAATTTGCGATAATATAATATTGCGACTATAAATTGAGATGTAAGCTATCCTATCTTTCAAGTTGGATCAAACTTCAAACGGTGTGCAAATTTGATTAAAATTTAAGGTTAAATAGTTTAGGAGTCCATTCCGGACAAACAACGGGACGCGTAATTTACATATACATACAGGTTGTAAAAAAACCTATGGCAAAGACTAAAACTGCGCATTCTGTACACCCAAACAAGTAATATTACAAAATATTATACGTGGGAATCATTTGTATTTTGAAGTGAACAAAAACATTTTTTCCAGTACGCAATGTATAGAGCGGCGCGCTACTGTAGCGCTACTCAAAGAATTTGCCTGTGTGTATGTGTGTGTAAGTGCGTCGATAAAAAAAATCTAAATAACGTTTTGAAAAAAAATATGTATAAATCTTGAAAAGAAAATTGTGACTGACTTTCAATATCTCCATAACTATAAAGTACAATGCCCATTTTTCTTAGGAAATCCGTACCAATAATATTTAAAACTAGAAAATAAAATACATATGTAATTTTTTTACATCATTTTAAATATTTTATCTCACCATTTCATAAAGTAAACATTGCGTATTTTCGAAACTCAAAACATACATTCTGGCGATTCGGAACGCTTAATTACGGAACTGTCAATGTCAATTTCGTTTTTGTTGTGATGATGTTTGTTTTGTTTATTTGATCGATGTAATTCTTGCATCGTTTGAGTCGATCTCGTAGTTTTATCGTTTAATTAATTCACCACGTCTATAATCCGGGCTAATAAAGGAGTCCGGGCCCAACTTATTGCGCTCGTGTAGTATACTCAGAAATGCGGCCGAAAACGCATACGCGCTTTATCTATGTCGCAGGTATATTGTCAAAACCATAAAATTATAATCTACCATAGTGAAATTATAATAACACTGCTAACCTCATTATAATTTAACTAGTGATACTATAATATCACGGCTCTTACAATGTACCTGCGGCATCTATAATAATCACGTTGATTCAAAATTACTTAAAATGTTATGTCAATTTTCTAAAATGTGGTTAAACAATGACAAAATATTTTTGATACTAAAAAGTTACATAAAAACTAAACTCTTGGGAATAAATTTGGTTTGATGCAAGTTGGTACGGATCGCCCAAGAAAAGTGGGCATTATCCTTTATCGTCATTATGGGGAAAATACGTGGCCTTCGACTTCGTTAAAGGTTTTTGTACTGTATATTAAAGATCAAGATTTTGTTTACATAGCATACATAGTTGTTGAATTTTGCTCATATATATTATGTAAACATTTATAAATATTATACAGTATTTCCAATCTACTAAAAGTACTTCAATCACTAATAATTATTGAACCAATTTTAGTATCATATGTGTATTTATTAGTTTTAGTGTAGTCAATAGCGCTGAAATTAGTAAAAGTATCAAGTATTAGTTGTAGTATTAACTATTCTCACAAAAAAAACTGTTTTAAATAAACTATCTTCTATGATTTCAGGGTTTGGTACTTAATTCCATTATATGTAATTGAATTTCGGGGTAATTTGTAGGGGAGGGGGAGGGGGGGCTCCTCCCGACCCCCCCGCCATAAAAGATTTTTGGCGGAAATGCAGTTTTTTTTTACTTAACCTAAAAATTCATTAAATCTGTTAAATGTAGTGGAATTTCAGGGGGATAGGTATTAGGGAAGACCCCTCAGAGGGAAGGGTAACCCCCCCCCCCTCCCGGCGTTTTTTTTACAGAAATGATATTTATAAAAAATTAGAGGGGTTTTAAAGGTAAAACTGTACTTCCAGGGCCTAGAGGTGATATTTGATTTTTTTGTAGAAAAAGTCTCTATTAACGAATTTTTCTTCCTGGCGCTTCGCCGGCCGCTGCCGCGGCACGCTCGCTTCGCTCGCTCGGCTCGCGCGTTAAGGTCACAACACTAACCTAACCTTACCTAGTGTGAAGTATCACCACACAAGCGGCTCATTAGAGTCCAAAACTCGCACTACACTCGACACTTCAGGCGAAGGGACAGCAGAACTCGAGGCCGAAGGCTTTGAGGATGCCATGGTAGTCAGACGATGTTAATATCAACAGGAATACGAAAAAGCTCTCAACTGCGACGAACACAAACACTGACTGACAGATCTCATTAATGGCGGTAAATTGTCACATTTTGACAATAGTACCAACATAATAAACTTATATTTACCATAGACAACGAGAAACATGTTATTTTTGCTTAAAAAAATGGCAGCACTGATCAAAATTGACTCATAACCTACAAAAATATTAATTTTCAATATTTTTTTTCTCGAGTTCTATTCGTTTCCGCCTAAAAAGATTTCGTGTATGTGTTTTTAATAGTTAATACCTTGCGTGACAAAAATTTCAGCTTGCAACTCAATTACATATAATGGAAAGGTGAGCCCAGGGTTTTTTAAAGACTTCATACCTATGTATTATCGAAAACTCAAACTCAAAATAATTTATAACTTTAGGCTGTTACAAGCACTCATGAATGTCTAGAATCTACGCCATCGGTTCTAATCATAAATCTTTGCACGGCGAGAGACTTGTACTGAGAAGAACCGGCAAGAAACTCAGCAAGGGCTGTTTTTTCTCCCTGTATTAATAACAGAATCGTCAAGAAGAACAATTACTTCAGAGAATTCATGAAGTTACCTTACATTACATAAGGTGAAATTGCATTTTGATTGATGTGTCATATACAGTATAAATAAACATACACACATCAAAAGTGTCTATAAGCATTTTTATGCGGATTTCTTGAGATTGAGATGTGGCTTTGTAATAAATTTATGATTTTATAAATTTATATGGATCCTTTTTGGTGCATTTCATAATTTGAATCAGGAACTGTGAATCAAATTCGAGTAAAAGATGAAAATCAGCTGTCAATATTTTCCCTATAAAAACATACAACGCATTGAAGACATTATTAGTGCTACTGTTTCCCTACTACTGATTAAAACCAACGTTATTATGGAGCGGCGACGTCATTTAAGCAGGGAAGAAATGCTCAGAGCCGTGGGAATGATAGAAGCTGGTTCCCGGCAACGTACTGTGGCTTTAGCTCTGAATACAAGTCAGAGTGTTATCAGTCGACTTTGGACACGATACCGAAGCACTGGTACCGTGGCTGAGCGCCATGGAGGACGGTATCGCTGCACCA